CCCCCCCAAAAAAAAAAATATATATATATATATATAGTATTGATTGATTGATGGCGGACTGTCGTGCTACGGGTCCAAAGTAGTACAGATGATCAGATAAGCAATTATTTAGGCCCGTAAAGTATCTTAGAGTTTACGGTCTAGGAATCTGGGATTAGAGAAGGGCTTAGGATGGTTTAGGGCTAAGGAGCTTAACAGTGCTGTTACAAGGTCTTTACAAGACTTCATAAAGGGCTCTATGGGAGTTCAATATGTCGGTGTGGTCAAGGTTTTGGCCTTGGGTTTGGGCCTGTAAAAATCAACAGTCGGATAGGGGCTTTGCTGTTTTTAGGGTTTGGCTTGGGGTTTAGGGTTTAGGGTTTAGGGTTTAGGGTTTGAGGTGTAGGGTTTAGGGTTTAGGGTTTCGGGGGACCCGAAAGCCTAAACACTGCACCCTTTAAGGGCCTGCAGGGTTAAGGGTCCACGTGAGGGTTTAGGGGAGCGTGGATTGTGAGGGAAGGGTAGCTATAGAGCAAGTATAGGACAGTATAGGAACCTTTTCTGTGAACAAAGGTTGATTGAAATATCCTTAGAGCTGCGCCCTAAACCCTCCCTCGCGCAGAACCCCAAACTCCTAAATACCATAAAAGCCCTGAGCTCTAAACCCCTAAGCCCTAAACCGTAAATCTCCAGGGTAGTTGGGCATACGATGCAGCACATCTTTGAATGGAAATGAAATATAAGGCATGTCTGCGGAGGTTTGGGTGTAGGTGTTTAGGGCCTGGGAGTTTAGGGCTTAACGCCTCGATTGTCGAAGCATGGGATTACTCGCATCCCCAAGTTAATCGGCTCAAATGATATACGGGCCTTATTAAACAGAATACGAACCCTGAGGAGTAGAATGGCAAAAAAAACCCAAACCCTGGACCCTAACTGATGTCATCTGACACAGGAGGCCTTAATGACTGGAATAATGTTTTGGGGTGCAATGTAACATAAATTCAACGATGCTAAGGAACACCACTAAAGCCTGAACCCCAAGAAATAATACTGGTTTAGGGTTTAGGTTTTAGGGTCGAAACCCTAAACCCTGAACCGCGGGTAGTCATTCAAGCTCCTACTGGCTGTCTGGCAAGCTATGAAATCGTTGTGGCCTCCTCGGCGCAAAACGGCTGCTGCTTGTATATTACAACACTCACATAGGTATTAAAAATGGTAGTGATAATAATCGACAGAAACATAGCAAAAAGAGTAGCAATAACAACGTAACACCAACTTTGATATTTCAACAGTATTGGTAAGACTAGTACTTGTAGCAATCATACGAACAATAGACAGGTAATCACAGTCATAAAAGTCATAATCGTGACTAGAAGTCGTAATCTTCGTACTACTTGATTTTAGTTGTCACAATACTGATACAGGTGATAGAGGTAGCCGTCAAATTCTGAATACTCATCGTTGCAATAGTCGTGGTGTTGTGACGAAGATTAATCTAAACCCCAGACCCTAAACCTGTTAATAACCCTAAACCCTAAAACCCTAAACCCTAAACCCGTTAATAACATTGATCTATGCTCTTAGTAGCTTCAGTCGTCTGGTCCAAGACCTACGCTTCGGAGCCGCAGGGTGGTTAGGCATGGCAGGCCTCTGCGGCCCGTTTAGGGATTAGGGTTTGGGGTAATGGGAGGGCCTTGATAATTCGAAAAGGGTTTCGGGGCCCATTATACTATAATTATAATAAAGAACCCCTCAAGATAGTATAGGTAATTATTTAGGCCCCTATAGTACAGCCCACGACTCTGAAACACAAGCAGCGCTGGCCCACTCCACCCGATCCGGCCTGTGAATAGAAAGTTTTCGGGCTTTAGATCCCTGTGGAGCCGTCCTGACAGGACAAGAGATGTCGTCAAAACAGGAAGCCAAGCAGGAAACTCCTCGGTACAATGACCACCCAAGGCTTGGAGGGTTCAGTGCGCTTGGGCGCTTGGGCATCAAGCAGCTTGTCAGGGTCTAGGGTTTCGGGTTAGGGTGTAGGGTTTAGAGCTCAGGGTTTAGGGTCCAGCGGTTGCATTTTTTTGCGGTAGGTGTGGCGGACGAGAGAATCGAGCTTTACGCTCAGAGGTTTTGGCTGGTAGGTGTTTCGGATGTTGAATGGCAGCTAACCTCCGAACCCTGCTTGGCCAATGCCAAAAGAGCACGAGGCACAACTCCGTTTATGTTTTACTGCTGTGCATTCGCATTCCGTTACTTTATGTTCTACCCGCTCGAAATGAAATTGTGGCGATGGCATTCGTGCAGTGAGGTTGTCGTCCTGAAAGTGAATCGTGCCTGTTGGCCGTTATACAAACACAACTGTATAAATAGGTAGATGTATAGGTGCATGACTAGACGTACAGATGTGTTGTGTAGATGTATGCGTGTGTGTATGTATACTGCGTAAACTTACACTTTCATTTTTCGGACAACTTGGGACCACGTAAAGTGCATACAGATACGCTTCGAGATACAACATGTGCGCATTCGCCGCTGCTTTGTGAAAAAACGCTGAGCTTTCAACCCAAGTTCAGGGCGCGGGTTCATAATTCGTATATACTATCTATATCAATGTTACATTTTGCTATCTATATCTGTTGTGGAATAATTACAATGTGGGGCCTTTGCGGTGACAGTGCTGCACGGCCCGCAGCATTTGCTCCAGAAGACGCGCGACCTCCGAGTAGCAACGTAGCACTGAAGATTCTGCTGAAGATCATGAAAACAGCAGCAGCAGCAGGAGTAGGAGTAGTAGTCGTCGTCGTCGTCTAGTAGTAGTCGT